ATTGGACCTGGAGTCAGGAAGACCTTATTTCAAATCCAGCCTCGGACACTAGCAATCACTTAACCTTTGCCATTTTTTCATCTGTACAATGGGGATAATAATAGCACCTACATTCCAGGGTTGTTGTGATTATCAAATGAGATAATATTTGTAGAGCATTTTGCAAACTTTAAAGCTCTATAGCTAGCTCTTATGGTCATTATTATTATTGTCATTATTATTAATCTGTAAAATGAGGAGGTTAGACCATATAGCTTCTACCCACCAGGCTTAAGATGTTTTCCTGGATCTTTGGATGTTTTGTGAATGCTTTTTGAATATCTGCCCCCTCATTTATCTTTTACTCATGGTACATGACCAAGGCATGTTGGATAGAGCTCCGGATGTACAGTCAGGAAGACCTGAGTTCATCTATAGCCTCGGATACTTACTGTCTTAAGCAAGTCTACTTAACCTCTGCCAGCCTTTATTTTTCCATCTGTAAAATGGGGATGGTAACATGTGGTGCAGTAGATAATGTGCCAGGCCTAGAGTCAGGAAGACTTATCTTCCTAAGTTCAAACCTGGCCTCAGACACTTACTAGCTGTATGGCCTTGGGCAAGTCACTTCACCCTATTTGCCTCAATTTCCTCATCTGTAAAATGAGCTGGAGAAGGAAATGGCAAACTGCTCCAGTATCTCAGTATCTTCAGTATTTGACCCCAACTGGGGTCAAAAAGAGTTGGACAAGACCGAAGCAACAGCAACAGTACCTACCTCCCAGGATTGTTGTGAGGATCAGATGATGTAATATTTGTAAGGCGCTTTGTAAACCCCAAAGCTCTGTACTGGTGCTAGCTATTGTTATTGTTGTTAATATCATTATTACTATCAATTTGTAAAATGAAGGGGTAGACCAAATGGCTTCTACCCAACAGGCTCCAGGTATTTCTCTGGATCATTTGGATGTATTTTGGAGTATCTGACCATTTCTGCTTATCTTTCCCTCATGCTACATGAACATGGCATACTGGATAGAGTGCTGGAATTGGAATTAGGTAGACCTGGTTTCAAATCCCTCCAAAGACATTTGCTAGTTGTGTGACCCTGAACAAGTCACTTCACTTCTCATGATGTTGGTTCTTTATCTTTAAAATGACAGGGTTTGACTAGATGGCCTAGAAGGCTCTTTCTACCTTAAAATTGAGGCTTCTAAGTTGCAAACATGGAGATGGAGAGGGTGATGGATGTCAATGGTTTCCAGAATCTCATGCACACAAGCTTCCAGCAATGCTTTGCTTTTTTATGCAGAGCAAAAGCACCAGTTAAAGACCAAGCTGCTAATCACATTTTACTGACCTCGTCAAAAGGGTATTACTGGAGAAATGAACCGGCTACTTATTTATGTCACATGTCTTTCTATCATGGAAGTGTTTCATTTCCACTTTCTTTAGACTACCTAAAACATAAGTTCTTAACCTTGAGTCTGCCACCTTTTCCCTACCAATATTTTGATAACTATTTTAAATATAATTGATTTCTTTTGTAAACCTACACATTTCATTTTACTTGTTTCAAAACATAATTCCAAGAGGAACTCCCTTGACTTGAATACAGTGACAAAAGGGATGTTAGAAAAAAAAAAAAACGGTTCAGAACCTTTGACTTAGAAGCTTCAGCAAGTAAAATACCATAGATTCTTAATCTCAGAATTGTAGCCCATTAGTAGCCAGGTACAAGCCTGGCTTTGAGCCTATGCCACGTCGTCTTTGATGGTTCAGTTTGACGGTTTCCTTGGCACCCTTCTCACCCACAATCCTTCAGAGCCCGTGACATCACCTAGCTAACATCTGATCCGTATGTTAGTGAGCCAGGGTCTGGATGTCTCCCATAGAGATCCTCAGTGCAAGGACTACTTCTTCCCCCCTGCCTCCCATTTGGACAGTCATATTTTATCCAGCTTCCAACAGGAGTTGTGCCTTGAAGCTACCCCAGCAAGAAGGGTCCTCAATAGGACTACCATTGTAGACAGGTTGAAAGAGCTTTTTAAAAGAACTTTTAAAAATATGCAATTAAAAAGTGTATGGGTGCCCAGAGACCTTTTAAAGGTCCTGAGTACATTTAGAGATCTAAAATTAACTCTCACTGCTGGATGCCAGGTCCTTCGTTAAGGGGTGCATGATTTTTTAATACTTTTGTTTAGAAAAAGAGAAGAGAAAAGGGGAACTGGGAAGATATAAAGAAAAGGATTCTGGGACATGAGGGTAATAGCTCCAACGTATGCTGGAATGAGAATTCCTCCCCATTCCCCTTTCCCCCCAACCATTATTGCTGAGAATTGTATTGACAGATTGAAGAGATCGAATCTATATAGGTGGCAGGTTCTGCCAAAAGATAACTCAGACAGAGTTAAGAAATTCACAAGTTACAGCTGAAGAATGTGGGCTAAGTCAATTTGGAAAGTGCCACATGGCATGGCTAGATTATAATCTGATGGATTGCAGGCAACTTTGTTTAGTTTTCCAACACTGTATATCAACATCATTTCAACAAGGATCCCACATGTGTCTTTACTGAAAGCCAGATGGCAAATACTGCTCCTTTGTAGAGGAATTAGGCTGCAGTGGGAGGACTGGAGTACAAAGCCCAGTCATTTAGTCTGTGTGATCTTGAGTAAGTCATATCATAAGATCATGGGAGCATAGATCTCAAGCTTGGAGACTTTCTAATGGAGCGCTCTCATTTAGAGAAGAGGAAACAGAAGCCCGGGAATGTTAATTGACTTGCCCAGAGGAAGTCACTTACAAGTAGTAAGCATCAGAAGTAGGAACTGACCGCAAGTCTTCAGAATTGTGGGGCAATGCTTTTGTTCCCTGTAACATCCAGAGATCTGAAGTCAGGGGGCTGGGGCAACGTGATCTTGAAGGCTGCTTCCACTTCTAAATCCAGGAATCTATGATGGACCTAAGTTTAAGTGCCAATAAGAGAGGTTTTTGCTTTGCAGGATATTTTCTGCATGCTGATATAATTGTTTTTTGGGGCCTCAAAAAATAATTCATAGGGTTATGCCTAGGAATTTTCAAAATAAATTCTCCCCATTTGATTTGAAAGTAAGGTTTTTGTTCCAACTCAACACACAAACAAATGAGAAACAAAGTCAGTTGACATGCTAAGGAGCCAAATTGTGAACAAAAATTGCTGATTTTTCTTTTAATGACTCATATGAAACCATGCGAATCTGGCCGTCAGAAAAAATCCTCTGTAGAGTCAAAAACACACAAACTGAAACCAGGGGAAACTGTCTGTTGTTGGAGGTTCATTTTGACTGTCTTAATAAGTGTTGACTTGGCCAACCAGGCTGTCAGCATATATGTATGGTCCATGCCCCATGTCTCAACAGAAGTGCTATGTAAATGAATAGCAAAGTCTTTCCTAAGACTGCCAAAAATGTTTCTTTAGCGTTTCCCTCAGGGGAAAAGCACAGATTATTATATTGTTCTCTTGTTATATAGATTATTGTTTTATGTAGACTTAATATTAGAGATTTTTATAATACAGATTTAATAGTAGAGATTATTATATGATTCTATTGGGAAGCAGCATGATACAGTGGAAAAGATGGTGGATTTGGTGTCAAAAGGTCTGGGTCCAAATCCTGACTGCCATTTTTACCTCTTATGTGAACCTGAGAAAATCAGCTTAACCCCTCTGGGCCTCAGTTTCCTCATGTAAAAGATGAGAAGCAGATGTGTCCTGTGAGCACTCTTCCAAAACTAGGTCAGTGGTTCTATGTTTCTGTGACTAAGGAGTCTTCCAGCTTTAATCTGTGATCTTTTGTGGTCCCTTCTTTCTTCTTCTTTGCTTTTGTCCAGTCAATGAGCCAACATTTATGAAATGCCTACTCAGTGCCCGGCACTGGGTTAGACATTAAAGTAATAAATGATTCACAAAAACCATTACATTCTAACAGGAAGGGCAGTTGCCTTTCTTTCTGCTTGCATTTACATTCCTAGCACTTAATTGAGGCATGATATATAATTAGGTCTTAATATTTATAAATGTATTAGTAATATTATTTTTATTATTACTAGTATTACTATTATATTTGTTGACTTGTTGACTTGAACTATATATAGCAAAGCATTGCAGAATAGATATAAGGAGAATAAATGCACAGTAATTAAATATGATGTGGGCATCTAGATGGTACACTGGGTCTGGAGTCAGGAAGACCAGAGTTCAAATCCAGCCTGAGACACTTACTAGCTGTGCTATGTGATACTGGGCAGGTCACTTAACCCTGTTTGCCTCCATTTCTTCATCTATAAAATGAACTGGAGAAGGAAATGGGAAACTACTCTAGTATCTTTGCCAAGAAAACCCCAAAAGGGGTCATGGAAACTCAGGATGTGGCTGAAATGACTGAGCAATAAGAAATACATGGTAGTTTTGGAGGGCAGGCATACTGAGGGAATCATGAAACATTTTTCATAGAAGATGGTGCTTAGGCTGTGTCTTGCATGAAGAATAGGATTTTATGAGGTGGAATTGAGTAATGAGTGCAGTCTAGACATGGGGGACAGCCAGTGCAAAGAAATGGAAGTTGAATTGTCACGTGTGAAGAACAGGGTAAAGACCAGATGGACAGGGTGAGAGGGGAGCTAATATACAATGATACTGAAAAGATAGGGCTAGAGAGGCTTTAAAGGCTAAAAAAAGTTTATAGTTGATTCAAGAGGACATGAGAAGTCACTGGAGTTTATCCAGTGGGGAGAATGACATGGTCTGATCAGTACTAAAGGAAAATCTCTTTGAAATCAGTGTGAAGGATGGACTGAAGTAGGGACAGCCTTGAGGCAGGGAGACAAATTGAGAGGCTGTTCTAATAATCCAGGCAGGTGATGCTAAGGGCCTGAATGAAGATGGCAGCTATGGTAAAAGGGTGAAGGGGTCAGATTCAAGAGATATTGCGGAATCATTGGTTTTTTTGTTTTTGATTGCTCCTTCTCTTTGAAACCAGGTAAACCCTTTTTTACACGAAATCCATCTGAGTTGAAAGGCAAGTTCATTCACACAAAACTGAGGAAAAGCAGCCGAGGCTTTGGCTTCACTGTCGTTGGTGGGGACGAGCCTGATGAATTCCTCCAAATCAAGAGTTTGGTGCTAGATGGGCCTGCTGCATTGGACGGCAAGATGGAGACAGGTAAAGGGCTTTGGCCATGAAAGAAGAGGGATTGAGTGTTGGCCTTGGGTCAGAAGACCTGGCTTCAAATACCAGCTCTGGCACTTACCGCTAACATCAGTGGCCTTGGACACGTCACTGGCTTCTCTTGACCCCAGTTGCCTCATTAGTAAAATGAGGGGTCTGGGGTAGATGGCTTTTAAATTCCTTTCCAATTCTAAACCTTTGATCCTATGATTTATTCCTAGATGAGGGCATTTTATAAAGTTTACCAGTTGCTAAGCAGTATGTACAATGATCAAATGTCTGCAAAGTGTTTTGCAAATTTAAATGTCAATTAGTATAATTATAATAATTAGTAGTAGTGGTAGTAGTAGTATCAGGGATGGGAACAGGACCTGTGATTTCACAAGGTGAGGAAATTCTCTTCCCACCAAATGCAGGGCAGTGCCTTCTCTAAAACGTACAGTCATAGGGCAGGGGTTCTTAGGTTGGTGTTTGTGAACTTTTAAAAAAAAATCTAGACAATTGCATTTCAATATAATTGGTTTCCTTGGGAATCCTAGATATTTTATTGCGTGTGTTTTAAATACTCTGAGAAGGAGCCCATAGACCTTGCAGACTGCCAAGGGGGTCACAGACACAAAAAAAGTGTCTTACTTAGCTTTATACCTACTGCCCAGCAACGTGTAGAAGCTGAATTCCTCATCTGGGAAAAATCATAGAATCAAAGGTTTAGAATTGGAAGGGAATTTAAAAGCCATCTACCCCTAGACCCATTATTTTACTAATTTAATAGTGAGATAACCAAGGCAAACAACCCCTGCCTTAGAGAGTTTCATAGAGCACTGAGGGGTCAAGTAATTATATACACTTATATGTATAGATGATGATGATGATGATGATGAATACTCAATTAAAAAAAGGATAAATTTAAAAATTAAATTAAAAAAAAAAAGGGTAGGACCAGACCTGTAAATTTTATTGTCCTAGGGACTCCTGGATGAGAAAACACCCACCAGTCCAGGTGGGCATTGTCCCTGCAACTTATAGTCTTTGAGAGTTGCCTCAAGCCCTGAGACATTAAATGATTAATTACACGGCGTCTCACAGCAAGTATGAGTCAGTACCCTCTACCGATCCCATATATTCTTCCACCTCTATACTATAGCTATATCTAAGTGAAGGGCTTACTATGTGTCAGGAACTATGTACTAGAGAATTAGAAAAAAGCAAAAATGGCCCTGCTTTGCAGGAACTTACATTCTAATGGAATATGGATCTACACATGTATTTGCACAAGTTAACAGGCATATTAATGTATTTATCCAACATTTGAGCAATTCCCTTGTTTTACCTTGTTTTAAAAGACACATTCATTCACTTTTCTGGCCTGTAAGGACACTCAGGTATGTAAAAGAGGTAATTTGCTAAAAAGGTAAATAAAGCAATTATGGACATGCATAGTTGTGCAGAAATAACCTTAATGTTCTCAGAAATGGTGATTATCCCCATTCTGCAATGCAGACATAAAACACCAAAGAAGTATAATATTGAGTATTAAGAAAATTAGAGAATGATTCCTCTGCCTTCCTAATACCCAGTCAGCAAGTCTCTTTTTAGCTGTCTCATCTCAATGTAGGGTTATGTATTAATGATTAAGATAATAAATTTTTAGCCGGTTAACTTTCTTTCCCCAAAAAAACATTTCCTTTGCAGGGGATGTAATTGTCAGTGTGAATGATACCTGTGTGCTGGGACATACACACGCTCAAGTTGTAAAAATCTTCCAGTCCATTCCCATTGGTGCCAGCGTGGACCTTGAACTCTGCCGAGGTTACCCATTGCCTTTTGACCCAGATGATCCCAACACAAGCCTGGTGACTTCTGTGGCCATTTTGGATAAAGAACCCATCATTGTGAATGGGCAGGAGAACTATGATTCACCAGCCAGCCACAGTAGCAAGACGGGGAAGGTCAATGGTGTGAAGGAACCCCGACCTAGCAGTCCTGCCGAGGTGTCTTCAAATGGTTCCCATGGTTACCCCAATGATACTGTCTCTTTGGCCTCTTCTATAGCAACGCAACCAGAACTCATAACTGTTCACATAGTCAAAGGACCAATGGGTTTTGGCTTTACTATAGCGGACAGTCCAGGTGGAGGAGGCCAAAGGGTCAAACAGATTGTGGACAGTCCAAGGTGCCGAGGCCTAAAGGAAGGAGATCTCATAGTTGAAGTGAATAAGAAGATTGTGCAGAACCTCTCTCACAATCAAGTGGTGGATATGTTGATTGAATGTCCAAAAGGGAGCGAGGTGACGTTGTTGGTGCAACGAGGAGGTACGTTCAATGGAGTCACATTTGTGGTTCTGTTTTGTTTTTTCTTCCCTTGATAAACTTATTTGGGGCTCTCTCACATTTCAGGTAAAGAGACATGGTTAATTAGTTTTTTGGTTTTTGGTTTTTTTTTCTTAAGACTAGAGAATCCTTTCAGAATTTCTTCTGAGGGTTCTGAATCCTGAATCTAAGTCAGGCCATGTGTATATGTCTATGAATCTTTATGGTATTGTGTCTTATTACGTGCTTCTCTCTCTCTTAACTGTACACCCTTATACAAGCATCCTCCACCTGCAAAAATACATTTGAATAGGGGAGGTAGTGTGGGGCAGTGGAAAGAGCCCCTATGGTTGATGGCTCCAGAGTCAGAGGACTTGAAGTCAAATACATCTCTAGTACTTACTACCTGTGTGACCTTGGGCAAGTCACTCTACCTCTATCAGCCTCAGTTTCCTCAGCTGTAAAATGACAAGTCCTCTGACTCTGGAGCCATCAACCATAGGGGCTCAATCAATAAAAGTATGAGGAATCATTCTCACGTCTTGTTCATCCTTTAAAAACCACATAAGCAACATAGAGATGGTATGTGAGCGTCAAGATCTTGGCTGGAGAACCATCTGTGGTAGGTCTAGGAAACAAACCTAGGCTCTTGGATTTCCAGTCCAGTCCAGTACCGTGACCTACTTAATTCTGAATGACACTGCCTGTTCCTTATTTGCCCACTTATCCAATTGGTAACTTGGAGACTTTCAAAAGGCTCTGGGCACACGAAGGCCCTCTCTCACTCTGTCTCGGCTCTTTTTGCCAATGCATTCACTTCACAGAATAAACCCACTGTCCTACTTCACACATTTGCTCTTTTCCTTTTTGCTGAGGTTCTGATGAGCTTTTGCAATTAGTTTAATTAGCACGGAACAAAAGAAATCTAACTGTGCCCCCCAACGCATAAGAAATGCTAAAAGCAATACTTCTGTGCATTCCCCAACGTTAGCAGATGGAGCAGGTGAGAGAGGATGGATACCCCTTGGCTTGGACAGTGTTTACATCATAGATTCCATAGAACAGAACTAAGAGATCCCCATTTTCTAGAAGAGAAGCCCAAGAGAGGTAAAGTCACCTGCCCAAGATTTCATAACTGCTCACAGCCAAGCAGAAGGAGGCTAAGAGCACATGAGCTTAGAATTTGTTGAGATATCTGGTCTTACGCTAGTTGCTGGTCCAACCCCTGCATCTTACAGGTGGGGAAACTGAAATCCAGATAGGTCACCTAGCTGATCCTTTGACTCCTAATTCAGTGCTTTTTTCTACCCTACCATACCCATGTCTCCCAGTTTAGTTTCCCAGTTTAATTCTTTGTCAGCCTTAAAACTTTTTTTTAAGCTGCCATTAGTACCATGTGATTGCGTGACAGTAAATTAAAGTAGAAATTTCTACAATGTCGAAGCATTGGTTGACACAGTGTTTACCTCAGAAACTGATTTAAAATCACTCCAACATTAACAGTCTTGACAATATACCATATGCCTTATGTTTGATTTATGCATGGAGTAGAAAGTTTGCAAATCTGAAGTTGGCAGACTAGCAGCAGATACTATTAATCTTTCTGGAAAAGACTATAAATATGTGTGCTTTGGCCATTCATTAGTTATTTGTATCGTAGCTGACGTTTAATTATCCCTTATGTTGGCGTGGATGTAATGAGAAAGTCTGATCAAGAAGGAAAGACGGCTAGTTTCAACAAGAGAGTCTATGGTCAGCTGACTTCCTCTAGCTAATGAGTTCCATTTCTGTCATCCTGCCAAGTATGTAGATTGACACACTCATCAAATCCGGATTGCCCAGGAGTTCTCAGGTATTGGACGTTTCAAAGCCCGCAGTGTCGGTTGCTCCTAAGATCTTTGCCAGCCTGGTCTGTTTAATGCCTGGTGCAGACAGATCAGAAAAGAGAATGGGAACCAGACTTTGATTTCTCCTGGTGGTTATCCTAGCCTAGCTAATGCTTCTGGCTCTAATTTGGGGTCTGCTTTTGTCAGGGTTCGATCGATTTTGAGTGGAACACCTTGGGCTGCTTTAAGTTTTCATCCCCCAAGTGAGCCCAGAGCTGAAATGTAACTTGGCAGATTTCAGAGGACAGAACAGTTTAGTAGGTTAGTCTTGGAAACACAGTGGTTACTGCTTCTCCCCCTGCCAGGGGAGGGTAGGAAATATGGGTGTGGTCTTTTATCCCCCTTCACTACTGAGAAGAGAGCCCCGTTTCAGTTGCGACCTGCTGGTTGATCAATGACATTTCCAAAAAAGGGCTGCAGCTAGTGAGAGCTTATCTAGTAACTGCAAGCCAAAGAGAAATGTCCTGGTTTTCATAATGTCTGGGGATCATGTCTTTAACTCCCTCATCCACACCCTCATTTTTTAGGAACATTTCTTCTGCCAGCAGTATCTTATGGGAATTTTAGGAACCAATCCCCACCCCACCTTCTGGCCATCACCAGTTTTTCTGCTTGTGTCCAGCAGTTTGCATCTCTCTGTCCATCTCTCTCAGCTTTTCTCTCTGTCTCTGCCTCTCCCTCCCTCCTTTCCTGCTTTTTCTCTCTCTTCCTCTCTCTTTTTTGCTCCATCTCTCTCCCCACCTTGCTTTCACTCTCTCTGTATCCCCCCACCCCTCTCTGTCTCTCTGTTTCTTTCTTTGTTTCTCTCTGTCTGTCTCTCTCTCTCTGTCTCACTCTCTCTCTGTCTGTCTCTTACTCATCTATTTCCCTGCCTGTGCCTCTGTTCTTTCCATCTCTCCTCTGCTTGTCCTTTCCTCCTCCTCCCTCTGCTGTCCAGTGAGGAGACTGCGAGCCCTTGCTGCCATCTGGCCCCTGAGCATCCTTGATCTGTGCAGCTTCTGCCTATAAGGGCAGGCAGGTGCCCACAATGACAGGTGTCCAGACTATTATGTCAGAGGTCAATCACTGGTTGAGCTGGCAACAGATGGGGGATGGGGGTGGGTGGAGAGAAAGATGGCCTGTGCCAGAGAGCATGCCTGTGTGTGTGTGTGTGTGTGTGTGTGTGTGTGTGTGTGTGTGTGTGAGAGAGAGAGAGAGAGAGAGAGAGAGAGAGGAGAGAGAGAGAGAGAGAGAGAGAGAGATGTTTAGAATGTTGGAATTCAACAGACATTTATTAAGCATTTCTGGTTCTGAGTACTGGCAACACTGAGATGAATATGATGCTGTCCTTCCTCCAAAGGAGCAACTAATCTAATGTAACAAAGATAGCTCCACTTACCTCCAACAATTTAAACGTTACAAATTGCTTTTCTCACAAGAAGGCTGTTTGGAATAAAAGAAAGAATGTTGGATTTGGAGACAAAAGACATGAGTTCAAATCTTGACCCTTAATGCTTAGATGTAAATTTGGGTAAGTTATATGCTTTCCTTGGGCCTCAGTTTCCCTATCTGTAAAATAAGGAATGCATGGCCAGTAAGGTTGCTTCCAGTTCCAAATGTGTAATCCCATTGAGGTAGACAGCAAAGGTATCTTCAGTTTCTGCATAGAAAAAGCTAGGCAGAGACAGTCTCCATTCCCTTTTCTATGTTCACACCTGCCAGAACGGAGATTCAGAGTGAAGTCTCCTGACTATTTACTTCTGTAGTTTCCCCACTACACCCTACTGGCTTTCTGACAAGCTTCATCTCTCTTGGGTAGGATACTTTTCACTGCTCTAATTCCAGCCCTTTGATAGTCTCTTAACAATTTTGAAAATGTGAAACTTAACAGCTAGTCAGAATATATTCCAATGATAAGAGCTGACTCTTCCACTCGAAAGTTTGTATCTGTTGTCTTACTTGGGGCTCACCACAGCCCCATGTGGTAGGGACTGGAGGTATAATTATTCCCATTTACAGATGAGGAAACTGAGGCTCAGAGAGGGCTGACATGTTCATGGTCCTGCAGCTTGTAAGTGTCAGAGTCTGAATTTGAACCCAGGTCTTAACTGATTTCACATCTAGCACTTTAACGCTGCAGCATGATGCCTCCCTAATGGTGCATTAAGTGGCAAATGGATGATCTGCTCTTGAGAAAGGAAGCTATTTGAAACCACTATGGGAATCAGTGGTCTAGGCCAAATCTACCCACTGGCGACTATGTGGCATCAAGTAAGTAAGAGGTGAGTCTGTGGACATCAATTTCCTCAGGGGTAAAATAACGGAATTGGAGTGGATGACTTTGGAGGTCCCATCGTGCCTCGTGAGTTGATAAAAACCAGCTTGTAAGAGGAAGAAGCTGGCAAAGGAAATGCTCCATCTCCCTTCCAGCTTTCTCCAATGTGTTGTTTTCCCCACTAGAATATATGCCCCATTGAAGGGCCTTGTATTTCTGTCTGCAGAGCTTAAACACTGACCCTGGCACATAGTGAGTCCTTAATATAGCCTTGTTCCCTCACACCGTATGTCCATCCATCTATGTCTATATCAATTTCAATATTGATATCCATCCATATCTATAATCCATATATATACACACACCCACTCATCATCCATCTACATATACATTCATCCTCGTACAAATATGTGCGTGTATGTACACACATACCCATCCTCTATATATCCCTCCATCCATCCATCCATCCATATACATACATACATCCATCTCTGTATCCATCCACCTTTCTATCTATATATCCATCCATCCTTCAACAAACCTTCAATCTTAGTATTCATTTAGTGTCAATTATGTACAAAATAATTTTATATCATAAATGTAGTCACTCTCAACAAAAAGCAAAATCCAAATATTTCAATATTCTAATTGGAGTAAACAGGAGATAAAATGAGATAAAATAAATAGGATATGATAAAAAAAATTAATTAAAAAATAAAAATAATAAAAGCATCTTGCAGAAGAAAACAGAAGGGACAGAGAAGCAAATAAAATGCTATTGGTATAATTTTATAAAAGTTATATATATATTCTTTCCCATGATAAACTATAAATGGTTCATAATTTTAGGTATGATATAATTT